TGTGGCTTGAGGACCATGGATGAAAAAAAACACTGTTCTATACAACCCACAGTTACCTAACAAGAATAAAATAATCAAAAAAGACTTACTCCTACCTTTGCTGTACAAATGTTTCAGATGGAGGACTGCTAAAGCTCAGTGTGTGAGTGAAATTGCTTGTGAACAATGAAATCTTACTTTTACTTTCACTTTTACACTCCAATAAGTCACATGGTTTACAAGAAAAGACCCAGGACGTTTAATGATACAGTATCTTTTTCAAATTTTCTTTCAAGTCATGAGGAACAGCAAATAGTAAAAAGAATAATAAGGAATATAAATGATTAGATCAAGTCTACTATCATAAAAAAAAAGAAAGATATGATAGATGTCTTAGTGTTTTAGTCATAAACCTTTGATGATATCTCAGTTGGAACTCAACGTTATCAATAGAGATAAAGCCTGATAAGTGTTTCCAATAGAGGCATGAAATACTTACAGAGAAAAATCTACTCAACATTTACATATTATTTGAACATATTTTACATTTTTTCAAGTTCAAATGCTATCTTTTGACTATTTTTGACAAGGAAAGGTAGAATATGTTGTTTCTCTATCAGATTCTTTAACAAGACGATTCAAAGACCGTCCTCTGAATGAACCATAAGGAAATAACAGACAGGGAAAAAAATAAATTGATGGTAAAGAAAAAGTTATAGAGAAAAATGAACAATATTACAGTAAATCTGTGACCAGAACAATCAAAGGCAGTCCTACATAAATACGCTATTACCTAATTTGTAAGAACTTAGTGTTAGAACCTTGTGGTACCAAAGCTATTATGAAAATGGAGTAGAATTTAATGCATTGTTAATTTACTCATTCAGGTTGTGGATAAAACAAACATATCTAGAAGTCTTTCTAATTTTACCTATCTGGAAAAAAAGTTTCATCTTAAGAAAATAAAATTACTAGAGTGTGGGTTTGGTGTGCTGTTGGTAAAAGATAAATTAAACTTCTAGGACTCTGGTTACAAGTTTAGGTTTGAATCCTTCCCGAAAACATTACCTGGTAAGTTGGGGAACTTGACCAAGCCTTTATATTTTCTTTCATTCATTCTTTACTTCTTATTCTCTATTTTTTCCCAACACAGCACTAGAGTAAAAATCCTCACCTCATCATGATGTAAATCAGAGGTTTGTACATATGTTCAAGAAACACACACCAAAGCTTATTATCATTCTTTTAAACTTTAATGATTAACTTTTTAAAGAGAACAGATCAAAAACATGTGGTTAAACAGCTAAGGCAAAAGTTTAACACATGGTTACCAACATGCAGAGGATACAGGATATCTTTCATTTACAGAGCCCTAATGGATCTTTATGAAATCCCACCAAATANGCAAAAGTTTAACACATGGTTACCAACATGCAGAGGATACAGGATATCTTTCATTTACAGAGCCCTAATGGATCTTTATGAAATCCCACCAAATAACAATTTATCAAACCAACTTTATTTTCATAAACATTGCATTTGGACACAAACATTAATAACTGTGACGTTATTTGTAAAATCAAAGTGTATTTTTTAAGGACTTTGACACAAGCCTTGCTGAATTTCTGACTTATGGGCATGAGAGGATGCCTACACATTAAACAAGTGAGATTGTTTCTGTAATTCTACATCCACTAAGAACAATTCAGCTGCGGTATGTTTTCTTCTATGTACATGTCATTATGCTTCTGTCTGTGTCCATTTAAGCAAGTTTCCACTGGATATTTTTGTTTGCTAGTGTGTGTAAGAAGCAACTAACAATTATTTTCACTTCATTAATCCCAAAGAGAACTTAAATGTTGTTGTAACTCTTAAAGTTGTTTGTAAATGTCAGTCTGTCTTACAGTGAGCCTGAGAAGCCTCTGACTGAAGATGCTCTGTTAATGTAAAACAGTTTAAAGAAGAGGAGGCTAAGGGTTGTCTGTAATGTTCTTCGTTTTCTTTCTCATCTCTTGAGATTCTAGAGGAGATCCCAGATCAGAGGCCTTTTTTTTTAAATAAACTTCTTAAGGTACTTTAAATCATATGCTCTGAAGCTGCTAACACAACAGACAATGACAAAATAGATTACGCTCCCTACAACATACTTATAAAAGGTATATCTACCATCTTGCTGCATATCTTCTGTAAGTTTTCTATAAGCTTTCTCAAAATATAGCCTTTTCTGCCCCTTCTTGTTGACAGCTTCACAGATCCATCTCCAGTCTTTTGCCCAAGCTCCCAAGTTGCATATGCACATAAGACATATTTCTAAGGGAACCTGTATTTAATCTATTTATGTTAATTTTTTTTCACTAAAACACAAAACTGAAATCACACAGTTATTGGTGTTTTACAAGTTTACCTGGTGCCTTGAGCTGTATTGGTCTAAAGTTGTGAGGTGGCTTTTAAAAGTTGTACTTTATCATGGGGAGTTGTTAGGAAACTTTTTCATGCATAAAAGGATCTTGTAATTTCATAATCATTCGCATAAGAACTTGTAAAACCCTAGGTATTTCCATATAATAGATTTGTTTACTTCTCAATTATAGATAGTTTTCTCCAGGTATTTAACTTATTAACTCCAATCTTTCATTATTCTCCTTATAAGACAAATTAGTTGAAGGAGAGATATATTTTCTTAGGATAAAAGTGATCATCTTCTTTTGGCAGGCCACATTGTCAGGAAGAAAGATTGGAAAAATAAAAGCAAATGAAGTACAGTTATTATTCTGGAAGGCCAGGTTTTCATAAAATTTGACAAAGGTCTATATTTGTGTGATAGAGAGCAAGCAGCTACACTAACAGCAGGGACTGATCAGATAGACACACATCTGGTGAGACACCTTTAAGAAAATAAACCCAGCTTTGTAACTCTGTACCATTTCTATGCTAAATTTAAACTAAATTTGATACATTTTTAGTACGGTAAGTAGTGAATGTCTTCAGTATTATCAGTTTGCACTATAATAGGTTTTATTTAAAAATATTGATGGCTCCAGGGTAAAGAACAATTGAAAAGCTCGAAGGCATAAGCAACTTTAGAGGGTAGTAGCTTTTCTTTTGGTCTTACAGAAGCAATTTGAAAGACCAACCAAAAAGCCACTTTTATGGCCTATCTGAATGCCAAAACCTATACCATAGCCTCATCCAAAGCCTATCTGAATGCCAAAACCAATACCAAAGCCTCATCCAAGTCCTATCTGAATGCAAAGACCAATACCAAAGCCTCATCCAAGTCCTATCTGAATGCAAGGACCAATACCAAAGCCTCATCCAAGTCCTATCTGAATGCCAAAACCAATACCAAAGCCTCACCCAAGTCCTATCTGAATGCAAAGACCAATACCAAAGCCTCATCGAATGCCAAAAATCCAAATCCCTATTAGAACCGGAGTTATTTTGGTTTGGTGCTAAAAAACTCTGTATTTGTAAAACAGCCTTATCGTTTTGTGCACAGGTCAGTAATCCTGGGACACTTTCATGGTAGAGAATGTCAACATCCAAGTCAACATTTTCAATATAATCGGACCACTTTCCTCCTGCTGTTGAGTAGTCAGCATCTCTGGTGTGGTGCATCAGAACCAGGATGACCCTTTGACCATCTGTTGAACAGAAGAGAGAAATGTGAGAAGCAGCCAGGAGCTGTACATCCCAAAAGGAGAATGGACTGATCTCTTAGTTAAAAAATAACTGTTATTAATTTTTTCTGATTGTTGTGGACGTATGGAGGGATATTTCTTCATCACACATTTTTTTTATTTTAAATTGTTCTCCTACTAAAAAAAATCTTTAATCAGAAACTTTTTAATTTTAAAATAAAACAAAAAAATTGTTACACAAAACTTTCCCACAGATATAGAATACATTTGCCCATTAGTCTTTTGCCTAAGAAAGGACAGGTCACAGAGGAAACAGTTCACTGGCATTATGTATTCCAGAAAGGAATAAATAATACCAGTGATTTGATCAAATATCCTGTTCAAATGCTTTGCCTGCCTTAAATGACTTCTTTAAAAGTCAAGGAGTGGATCAGTCCTTACTTGTCTTTTTTATTTAGCCGTGGGTCTTCCTTTATGGAGTTTGCATGTTCTCCCTGTGCATGCGTGGGTTCTCTCTGGGTGCTCCGGTTCCCACAGTCCAAAAATATGACTGTCAGGCTAATTGGCTTATCTAAATTGAGTGTGTGTGGATGGTTATTTGTCTCTGTGTTGCTCTGCAATAGACTGATGACCTCTTCCCCATTGACAGCTGGAGATAGGCACCAGTACCCCCTTACAATCCCAGCAGGGATAAGCATGAAGGAAAATGGATGGATGTTACGAAGAAATAATTATTTTATTTCTGATGCATAGTGTAATTTTTAAGGCAACCCTAATGGCAGAATATCTTACACTTATTCTAAGACTTAAAAAAAACCCCAAACATATTCATAATTTTTATTTAATATTTGCAGTGAAATCACATCAATGCACTTTCTCTTCCAGGAAGCCCATATACATTACAGAGCAAGCTGATTTCAATTGCCTTTGTCATAATTAATGAATATCAAATTATACAACACATGTAAAAATGTGAAAATGCGATGCGGTCTTATTCAGGCTGGGAAATCTGTTGTCAGGAAGCCTTGTGTTGCAACCTTTACTATAGAGTGGCCACAACAAAGCCATTACTTAAGGGAAGCCCAAAAACGTCCCATTTGCAATTTGTGTGATTTATACTGTGCGGCTAGCCTGCTCCCAACCAGGCTAACAGGCAAGCTTACGCAATCCTGGTGCCCTGTATGCTAAGTTAGCAGTGACAACAAAGAGCTACCAATGACTTCTTTATCTTTTTCTTGGGATTATTGAGGGTAAACATCAAGACACATTACCACCCTTTACTATGTCTGAAATGTGGGCCAGAGTTTGTAAACAAACAAATGTATTTTCCTAAAAATCACCCTATTCCCCTTCAAATCTTATTTAATGTTTTATATGTTATATTAAACTAATGAGTTTTGTCAATGAGGCCGTTGACTAAGCTGCATATTGTGTTTTTTTTAATCGGCCTAAATTAAAACCCTTAATATATGCTGTAATGAAGTAAGGGACTGTAGTTATTTTAACATTGTTATGTTGGTCTATACCAATATTAACTTCATAATTTTATATCTAAAAAATATAACTCTAAATGTGTTTTAAAAGATAGCTATTGTTCTAAGTTTGAAAAAAGTTATTTAATAAACTATTGCTATGTTGAATGAATTTGAGAAATCCCCATACTTGAATTTTCCCCTGACATTGCCTGCATAATTGTTATCACATTTCGATGATGACATCCGCTACCCGTTCAGACTGCTAAGGCACAATATTGTAAAGTACAGCGCCATGCCTGTTGGGTCAGAATTTTCTGCTTTTGTTTTTTTACTGTATGCAATTAGAGATGCTAAATATCTTAGCAAAGCCACTATTTTCCACACCATCAGAAGTCTGGATTTAGCATTAAAAGAATAATCCTATATTATCTTCTTGACCTTACTGTCCACAGAGGAATTAAAGAGGAGGAAATCTATAATATTGCGCAAATAATGAATTACATTACAGATCACAAAAGAAACTTTGGAATGAGTTGAGTGTTTACTTTTCTCTTTTAATACATAATTCTCTGACGTTACTGGTGCACTGTACCACACACACATTAAGATATAATGCTCCTCTGGAGGACATGAAGGTGATTTTGAATCATATCCACTAAAGTAAAAAAAAAGTGTATGGTAAAATAAAGTTTTAAATGCTAAATAATTCCCAGGTGTATTCTGCATTGCATCCAGAGGGCCCCCTTTTTAAGTTCAATTAATGCATAAAGAAGATTATATTTTTAAAATGATGTTAAGAAGAAAATGACCATTTCATGCCTTACATGCCACTCTTTTCAAGGCAGCCTCAACATCTGAACCAACACGAGAGATGATTGGGCAGAAAAGGATGACGTGTTGTGCATTCCCCCTCGTATCTTCCAGCTTCACCCTTCTCATCACAACTTCATCTGCACCAAAGGTTTCACCTGTAGTGATTTTCTGAACTTTAACTAGATGAGAAGAAACAAATATACAAAACGAAAAAAATCAGAGCTGTACGAATCCATTCATGTTGAAAGATAACTGACATATTCACTTACTGAAAGGATTCCTCATGTTTTGTTTGCCTAACATGAAGAGAAGAGACGTTAGATACAAGAAATATCCATTCGTTCATCCATTGCTACTAATTCCACAAAGAAAGACTTGTATAATATTTAGATTTAAATATTTAGATCTGATGATTTTTTTAAAACATTGTCAATCATAAGAGTGTCTAAGGTCACATTTTACATTCTATGCAAAAGAAAAATCTAGACCAAGTCAGAGTGATTCCTTAAAGTAATAATTTCTACTGTTTTTTAACTACTTTCTGTACAAGTTTTAAAGAGCAGAAAACAATGTCCATTGTGATCAAGTCTAGTAACTATGATTTCTGGTGTTGCACAAATTGAATTTTTCCTCTTAGTTAAATCTTTAAGAATATGTAGAATTGCTGCAAATATATATAAAAAAATCTCTCTAACATATTAAGAATAGTTTTCTAAAATATTACCTTTGCTGTGTTTCTGCTGCTGTGGGGTTTATCACTGACTGCTGTTGCTGAGAGTGCAAGAACAAACATCAGAGAAATATCTTACTTTAACATTCAGTTTCCATTAAGACCCAGGGTTTCCAAGACACTCATCAGATATGAGTGAATGAATTGCTGCATGATAGCAGACTGAGTTCATTTAAGTTTTTTTAAAACTGAACAGATTAGAAAGGTTTTATTGCTGCTAACAGCATCAAATGCCTTGATCAAGTTGTAAAACTCAACCTAAGAGCAAAGTCAGTCACACATGTTACAGTTTTATTAGTTGTATTGTATAGGTTTGTCTACTGTCCCTTGAAAAATAAACCATCCCATATGCAGAAAAAAACCTATGTGTCAAAATAGATTTGGGTTTGAGTCCAATATTTAAAAGAACACCCAAAATAAAGATTCACCATGTCAGTAGGGTGACAACACAATTCCTGTGCAAGAGGTGTGCCTGTTTTGTTTTTTAAACAGTTGGCAGCCACAGTGGGGTAGGAAAATAGGATGTTACAGGAAAACAATATTTTAGTACATTCAATGATGAAGGATACACAATTTGTTCATCAGAGATACACTATAATTTTGTGGAATAGTTGTGATGTTACTTTAGGGCCGATGCATTAAAATAAGCATGGTGCAATTTAAACATAGCATATTTTGGACTTTCTGCTCTGATGACTAACCAGGCACATTTGAAGATGACTAATAAAAACAATGTCTGAGCCATTACTAATCATTAGATACCCTGCAGGACTACTGACATGGCTGAAAGAGGGGATAAATGTCACTGTTATCAAGCTAACCATAGATCATTTCTATCCAAGTAGAGAACTCGTAAGATTCTTCACTATAGCATTATGCCTAATAGTAAAACCATTTTACAAGAGATAGACAAGTAACGATCATTACTGATAGAGAAGGCTCTGCAGGTTCTGGACAACTGTGGGTAAGATATGATTGATGTCTAAAAGTCCAAATCCATTCCCAAGTCTTACTGGGTGTAACACAGGAGCATAGGCTTAGGACAACCACACAGGGTCTATTAGCACAGACAGGATCCAAGGGGTCAGCTATAACTGTGGTGCATTCACAGCGAACGCTGCTTTTGCTCGACTTGAAATCCACCTGGCCAGAGAAAGCAATTCGTTAGGCAGGCGAATTCGCCCATGGTACAAAAGGCTCCTATCTCATCCAGTTTGCTGGTTGTTGATTTCCACATTGGCATACATTGAGTTCTCTGAGCAAATTGCAGTATTTTTTGCACTTTTGAAAGCCGAACAAAACTGCTGAGATCCCTGGGTTCATGATATTCTCTGGAGATAGAATAAGTGTGGGGAATTTCACCCCATTTGCAGCGGTACTCCCGTGTATCTGTAACCCACTTTGGGATTTAAGATTTGCATAAGCTATAAGAGTAAAATCTAAAAGCAAAATCTATCTGAATACACATTATAGCCTACAAACTATCTCTGCAAGATAGATCCATACTATACATATTTAGAATTTTTAGTTATATTTTTAGAAAAAAAAAAATCAGTTTTTGATAATCTTGTTTAACGCTCTGAAACAACCCTACATAAATATTTCATAAAAAAAAAAAAGTAACTTACACAGAATTTCCATAAATGTTAAGTTAATGAAAGTTCTGCCTTCAACAATAGGAGCTGCTTTTGGTATTCTAAGCCCACTGTTACCCAGCAAGATTAAAATAATTTAAAAGACTTACTACTACCTTTGCTGTAAAATAAATTCAGGTGGAGGGACTGAGGAGAGACTTCACTCACAGACTGAGCTTAAAGCTCAGTGTTCACAGTGAACAACAAAATCTTACTTTCACTTTCACTTTAGAGTTGAATGAGTCACATGGTTTACAAGAAAAGGTCTGATACATTTCTTATACAGTATCTTTCAAGTCATGAAAAACAAGCAAAAAAAAAAAGACTGGAAAAAAAAATATTGATGGTAAAGAAAAAGTTATTATGAATGATAAAATGAAAAATGATACTACAGTAAATCTTTGATCTGGGCAATCATAGGCCGTCCTACGTAAATACATTATAACTTGTAAGAACATAATGTTAGGACCTCGTGGTACCAAAGCTATTGTAAAAATGAAATAGAATTTACTGCATTGTTAATTTACGCATCAAGGTTGTGGACAAAACTAACATATCTAGAAATCTTTCTGATTTTACCTTCCTGGACAAGTCTAGTTTCTTCTTCAGAAAAGGTAAAGTTAAAGGTAAAAAGGTAAAGGTAAAAGGTAAAGTTAATTTTTGGACTATGGCTACACATTAAAGTTTGGATCCTTCACCTCACCTCCTTCTCTGGTACATTGGTGTATTTGACCAAGCCTTTATTTTTTTTCTTTCAATTGATTCTTTATTTTTTGTTCTGATTTTCTCTTTCTACACAATACTACAGAAGGTTAACCTCATCATGATGTAGTTCAGAGGTTAGTACATATGTTAAAAAAAAAAACACGCACAAAGGCTCATTATCATTCTTTTAAACTTTAATGATTAACCTTTAAAGAGAACACATCAAAAACATGAGGTTACATAGGCGACGGGCAAAGGTCTAACTCAGGGAGATAGGATATCTTTCATTTAAAATAAAAGTTTATTTTTTAAAGAATTTGGCACAAGCCCAGGTCTGTACTCGGCCTGCAAGATAGCAGGCCGAGTACAGATCATTTTTTTTCAACTGAACAGATAAGACAGGCTTTATTGCTGCTAACAGCATCCAACACCTTGAACAAGTGGTGTAAAAACTCAAACTAAAAGCCAAGTCCACCAAATATTAAACTCAATTCAGTTTATTTATATAGCGACAATTCACAACACATCATCTCAAGGCCCTTTACAGAGACAGTTCAACCAGAGGACATAGTCAGATCCGTTCAGCTTTCTATCTAATGAAAATGAATACTAGCTGAAGGCATCGGCTTATTGACTCGAAAGCAAAAATACAAATAATTAAAAGATTCATGAGCAAGAGGTTTGCGTTATTTATGTTTTAAGCACTTGGCAGCTGTAGTGAAGTAAAAAGATAGCATAATTTAGTTCTAACATTTTAGAAAATTTGATGCTGTAGGATTCACAGCTTGTTCCTCAGATGAGCTAAGATACAATTTTCTGCAATGGTTCTACTGTGCCTTGGGGGCAATGCATTGAAATCAGCATAGTTGCACTATGCTGATTTTAATGCATGTTTCATGCATGTTGCAATGCATGCTGGTTGTTTGAGGAGCCAAATGCAGAGACCAGTAGGTAGAGGTGAGTGTCCTCGATTTAATGAGGCAGAAATCCAGAAAATCCAAAATAGGAAAATGTATTTTTAAATGCAGTTGCTAAACTCACCCACAGCCATAGCTTTGTTGAACCGTCCATACAATCTGCTCTGAGCAGTAACTATTTTATGGGTTTCTTTATAAATAAGATTGATTTAATTAAAAATAAGATCATTGGCATTCCTCTAACTATGATTGGTTTATTTCTGGAAGGCGAGGCAGCATCTGAGTTAGCCTTATAATCTGGACCTGGTTTATACTGCTTAGATCCAGTTGAACTTTCCAAGTAAGTGAAATTATTGTGTTCATCTAAGCCTTCAACTTGTATGTTAGATCCAGTTCCAAACAAGTTTTTTAAGGAAGAATTCCCTTTGATCTCCTCCTCCATTTTAGATGTGATTAACCTATCCCTGTTACAGGGATACGTACCAAAGGTGTTTAACCTTTACTTAAGAAACCGTCTCTTGACCCAGATGACTAGTTAAATTATAGACATATATCCAATCTTCCTTTCTTATATAAAATTCTTTAGAAAATTGCCAAACAAGTGTGCGACCAGTTACATCATAATTAACTTATTGAAGAGTTTCAGTCTGGCTTTAGAGCTCATCATAGCACTGAAACAGCTCTGGTGAAGGTTACTAATGATTGTATGATGGGAAGTAACGAAGTACAAATACTTCGTTACTGTACTCAAGTAGATTTTTCTGATATTTTTACTTTACTTTACTACTTATTTTTATGGCGACTTTTTACTTCTACTCCTTACATTTTTACACAAATATCTGTACTTTCTACTCCTTAGATTTTAAAAAATAGGCTCGTTACTTTAGTTTTGAATCATTTCAATGGAGTTACCGTTATTATTTTTCACGTCATCAATACCAAATTCAATCTAATTGGATGGGAATCTACGTTGCATTTGACGCACCACTACAAGATGAATCGACAGATTGGGCGGTATTCATTCGCGGCAAATCATTGCAGCTTGGTGGCGGTGGCGTTAGCATAGTAGTATGGACGACGAGATGATTGAAAATGAACACAACAGAGATCTAGTCCTATTGGTGAACATCCATTTAAAATGTAGACAACGGCATGAAAAAAGTGGTTTCTACTTTTACTTTTATACTTTAAGTAAATTTACAAGCCCGTACTTTGTTACTTTTACTTGAGTAAAGAAGTTTAATCAGTACTTCCACTTTTACCAGAGTATTTTTTAACACAAGTATCTGTACTTTTACTCAAGTACGGAAAGTGAGTACTTTTGCCATCTCTGTTGTAGGCTAACAAAAAAAGCCAAATGACTCCCAATCCAAAGGGATGGGCCCTAATTCTTTACTATCAGGAAGTCCACAAACTGTAGTTAAAAGCCTTCAGCTGATCCAAAATGCTGCAGCCAGAGTTCTGATGAAAATTATAAAGAGAGGCCGCATCTCTCTTATCCTAGCTTGTTTATTGGCTTCCTGTTAAATCCAGAATAGAATTTAAAATCCTCCTTCTCACATATAAAGCGTTAAAGAGAGTGTTTGGCTTTTTATTAAGTAAAGGATCTGGGCCATTTATGTAGTTCCCACATCTATGGTCAGGAAGGAAAAGAACATAATGAGTTCCTCTGCAATATGTGCTTATATCAATGATTTTGTAAAACATCACTGAAATAATTTCTGTTCATATTGAAAGATATTACTTTTTTGTATGATTTCTAAGAAACATTCCTCCTCAGATTAGAACCTGGTGGTGTCATGTTTGGCTTCAGGTGCCTAACCCACATGCAGAACACTCAGAGGCAGGAGAAAAGTTCAAAGATTTATTGTAATGTTTAAGCACAATGAATGAACAGATCCAGAGGGGAATTTGTCTGGACACGAATGGGTTCTGAAAAGCACACAGAGTTATCAGATCCAGGACTGGTCACGAGTGGGTTCACTGCAGAAGGGGACAGAGGAGTTAGTGGAGGTCCAAGTAATTTGCAGGTTGAGAGTGTGCAGGGCTGTACCTGTTCTGGAGTTGAGCAGAGCGGCAGAGGGGGGAACCTTGAGGGTCCAGAGGCTGTCGGCAGGCTGAGGGCTAGAAGGAGGCAGAGCTTGGTTTGAGTGTTGGCAGATAACAGATTTGAGTTTCCCTTCCAGTTTCTTCTGAGAGCAGGCAGGCAGATCTTTAGACAGGAATAATTCTCCAGGGTTCTTCAGAGAACGGACAGGCAGATTAGTGACAGAGAAACTCTTCAGGGTTTCAGGCAGGCTCAATCGTTACTGGCAAACACTCTGGCACTGGAGAGAAGTCCTCTGCCTCCTTAAATACGGATCTCCTGATGAGCAGATGAGCGACAGGTGGTGCAATCAGCTCCGGCTCCAGGAGATCTCGTACGCCCTCTGGTGGAGAAAGTGGACAGACCTCCAGATCCCAACAGTTGGTCAAACAGATGATCAAACATTTGACTCATTTAATTAACCTGTGATTTGGTTCACACCCAACAATTCATTCATTGAAAAAATGTGACTTTGGAATGGTAAAGGAATTGAAATTTAATTTTAAATGAAAGCGTTCTTACAGCTTACCGCTCTCTTCCTGCTGGACAGAATGTCTTCCCACCAGGAAGCCCCATTTGACACAGCTATGATAAAACATCACTTAATGGATCTGGGCTTCAAAATAAACCTGAAAAAGAATATCCTTAATAGATCTCCATTTGATCTCAATCAATGCAAGATTAGGCCTAAAGGAGGACAGAGTGAAAACAA